AAACTATCGACCAGTTTATAAATTCGGTTGTTTGGTCTTTTACAACAGATTTGTATTAATTTCATATTTTTATTATCCCCTTTCGCCAACACATTATTTTCTTATTTATTGTATCAATCTTTGCTCTTATATCTGCACTTTCTTCTCTACCCCTTTTTCTTTCATACCCCTAGCATGCAAAATTAGCTGGAACCATGCTTACTTCCGGGCTTAGGAATCTGCCACCATACCAATTGCGCCGTCGGCAACGACAATTGCTCAGTCTTCTCGTCGGTGCCGTCGAGCGCCTTCATTCTTTTGACCCTTCCTCATGCTTTTCGGATCCGTCAGGATCTACGCAAAACTCTCAGAGCAATTCACATTCAAAGCATTTTGTAATTGAAGCCAGTAAAACCGATCTAGAACAAATAGATGGAGAAAGCCCAGATCCGAATATAGCATTCAGGCGAAATCTGGGAGTTGTAGCTTCGTGGCTGGCAAATGCAAGTCAATTGTTGCATTTAGTTACGAGAGATGTTGACTTGACAGTCGCATTTCAGGTAAATACTTCTTACACTATTGATATGCTTTTACATCAGATGATCGTAAGTGCTTGGAACTGAAAATGTTGTCTTATTTCGGTTTCAATAAAGCTAATTGCTCCTTTTGTGTATACTATTTTTTAATGTTATCATTGTAGAGAAACTCGATTGTTTCTCTTTGTTTTTAAAATTACGATAACCTACATTATTAATCGATATCAAAGTCAATTTTCTGGACTAGAATTCTTGCTTTCTCTTGCTATCCCATCTTTTCATCCTAAACTTATTGTTTCTATTCTTCGTAATCTGCAAACTTATTTAATGTCCAATACTCAATTCGAATTATACTTTTTGAGTGAAATCAAGCACATTAAGTCGAATTTCTAGCTTTTGTTAGTATAATTTCCGAGTTTTCTCTTTTTACCTATTTTCTTACTCATTGTTAAGTTGGCTCGGCTTTAGCCCATGAGCAATCCGCAATTCTTTATTATGTTAGCAAACAAATCAATAGATATCTTCATTTTTGACTTTCTTTTGCTTCTTTTAAGCCTCCTTTAAACGGGTCAGGTGGCTCCGGTGGGTCAGATATGACTTCACCCGTCGTTTCTTCATCATGCATTTTCCCTTCTCGAGATCTCACCTGTTTAGCCAGTGAGGCACGCTCCGCACGAGCTGCCTGGACTTTGCTAACTGACAGGCTAGCTGAAGTCGTACAACTCGCTTTTGACAATCTCAGCGTGCTGGCCGTGGAAGCGCTTGAACGGATCAGTCTACCCATACTTTTGGACAGGATGCAGACCTGTGTCGACAAACTTGAGGCCTCACAATTAGGTGAGGTAGACACAACTGCATGTGGAAGTTCACATGGTTCTGTAACAATTGCCATTTCGAAAGCGTTGGATTCCTCCACGAAGGAAGGTTCACTCAGCATTCAGAATGAGCATAACCTCACTGGAGATGACGACCAACCTGCTTGCTTAATTGGTGCGCCTTTTGGCCCAAACATTAAGGATCCTGAAACAAGCAGGACTGAATTAGACTCTATGGATCAAGATTGTCGCAGTAGATATTCTGAAATTTATCTCCATGCTGGCCTTGGTGGCAAAGTAAGAATGAATTTAATTTACTTGTGCTATACGTAATTTGAAAGAACACTAAGAAAGTTTGCTATTTTATGCTAATTCCGGAGTCCATAGTATGCATGATAATTTCTAGCTTCGGATCATGGACTTGATACACTCCCAGACGTTTCACCGTCATCGTCACTGCGCCTTGCCATTCTTAGCACAACACTACAACTCGTTTTCCTGTCAATAGAACCAAGTTGCGAAAACAAGATCAAATAACAACTATACCACGAAAGGAGACCGCGACCACCCAGACGCAGGGGATGGATAATAATGTCTTGAATGGCACAGATGAGGTGTCAGGGGTCGAGTGAAATACTTGAACCAGAAAGATAGCACACGGAGCCTACGGGGCAAGAGGGAGACTCTGATAAGACCTAGGGAAGGAGGAATGCGTAACAATATGGCAGACTCTGATCAACATTCCCAACAAAAGGGTGAAGGGGGGTAAGAACGCCAGCATGGAGTGTGGAGGGTTTTCATGAAAGCTGCACAAAAGGGCACACCACACTGCATATAAATAAGCAAGGAAAAATTGTGATAGTGAAGGCGTGATACGAGGATATAGGATTGGTGAATAGCCTAGGACAGGACTGATACAACAACTATTTAGCAGACAATGAAGCGATTTTAACAAGCATCCTTCCAGTTGCTAAACGCTTGACTCTTCGTTGTCCTCATTAGCCTGGTTGATAACCTGAAAGGCGTGTTATTAATTTTATTTTTAGCGAGTAGGCTTAAATACTGCCACAGATCTAGTAAATAAATGACACTAATATGCATTATAATAAAATGAAATTTAATTTAGTTTTGAAGATGTGAAGACCAAGATATTGTGGTCGCAGTCTCCTTTCGACTTATAGAAGTGGGTTGACCTCGTTGTCGCAACTTGGTCTTGTGTTGAGGAAGACTATGTAGAACGCACCGAGTCCGAAGTCGTCTGCCTTGATAAATAGCGCCAGGAGTGAAATGCACACAGGGACTGGACCTGAGTGAAATCGGTCATCCAGAAAGATAAGGAACGGATCTACGAGACAATGAAAGGATCCGGATTGGAGGCCCGAGTGGGATAAGCC